TTAGAAGGCTGAAACCAGCACCAATAAAACGACGAGTTCATCCACTCAGCATTATTCTAAGGATCGTCCATGTTCTTTGGGTAGTCTAGAGTGTGAATCCTGATGAAGATTCAGATATAGGCCGACACGGTCCCTCACAACTTATTTTTTGACCCCGCAGTGAAAAGTGCCATGCAAGGCCATGCGTGAATCCAACATGGACCCGAGCACAGCTGTCACTTACATCGTGACATGTCATTCATTTTAACAGATGAAGAGAATTTGGGGTGCTTTGAGTTTATATGTACTTAGCTTTTTGATTGAGACTTCGACTTCACTTTCCATCTCAATCCTTTTCTCATCTCTATAATCACCAACACCAAGGCTGTAGGATCAAGATATTTGGTAGCTTAGAGAGGGGTAATTGAAATGCGTGTTTGATGTAAGAATCTGAGCAAAATAAGACGAAGTTTGTTGACAAAGTCTCCACAAGATTAGCGGGGTTCAAGTCAGCCAGAAAGTGCCAAAATTTTTATTCACTTTGGCCTCCCAGCCCTTTGTATTTTTAAATAAATAAATTGCAGGAATGTGCTGCTCAGGTGGGCCTTTCTGCTAGTATGTTCAAATTCAAAACATTCAAGGAATATTTGACTGTAGGGGGAGTTGTATTTTAGGTATTTTTCTGACTTGAAGTTGAACTCTGCTTTTAGCAAAAGATGGAGCAAGAGTTTGTTCCAAAAGTTTAGGATGTTAAATGGATCTGGGATCAGGTGATAGGTTGTGAGTATACTATCATGAAATGGGATACAGATTATTGAATTTGTCAACTTAGGGTCAGGCCTCCATCTCGAGTTCATAACTTGATAATATATTACTATGACCCTCCTTTGCCTGACAGCACCCTCATCTAGACAATTGATTTGTTGATAATAGTGTTGAACTCAAACTATGTCTTGCAATGAATCAAGGCACTCTGAAGGCTCACGAACTCGAATGTTGAAATCCTCCATAAAAGTTTGTTCAACAAAATGACATTGTATTCCTTCCAGAAGGTTCACAAAAGTTATTCAATTAGGATTACAGAAGACTTTAGTAGCCATACCATTCAGGTACGAAGATTCCACTTCCCTCCTTACAATCTAATGGATGTTATGATTTGAAGTAATTTTAAATCAGGATATCTAAATCTATTCTCAACATGAATCAAAGGTTTAAAGATTATAGGTTGACTTACTGATTAAGTTGGACATTTGATCGCACTGTACATACTTATAATCATTTGGTCCTGGCCCCATTTGGAAAGTACAAACTTGAGAAAAAAAAGGTCAATGGAAATGTGAATGGTTAAAAAATCAAACAAGATACACAATCAAATATATCTCCCTAAATGATTTATGCTCACAACGTTTCCCATCTAACATATTATAAGTTGGGCAATTTCCATTTTTGACCGTCCTAGTGTCGATGTGACATCCTGTGCCTGCAGGTTCCATCTTTGGACTATGCCTTGTTCAGCTTTGTTATTATTTCATAACTAAAGTTATTGTTCTCTCATCTCTTAGGTTTTAACTTTCATCATTAATACTATCTTTATGTTTGTATTTGTCTCTCGCTTATTTCTATGAAGCTTGTAACTCTTACTTACTTCCTTTATGCCTTCCTGTTTCGAAGCAATCCATTATGTAGGTCATCACCATTTTTGGTTCTGACCTGGTGTGGGGGGGGGCCATAGGCCCGGGGACTGCCTGTCCGAGAAAGGTTTTCTACCTCCCAATCTCTGGACGGGTGGCGTCCTGAGCTCGTCAAAAACCTGTCTACAACAGCTGTCCAGATCTCGCTGTATTGCTCATTGTACATGGTGATCATCCACCTCGCGTGGATCTGCAATTCACTACCGTCAACCTTAAACTCTATTGCATCAAACTCAAACCCTGTCTCTTCTTTATCTTTCCTTACTCATCTCAACCCTTTTCCCGCACCCCATTCATTTCACTTCACTTTTAATTTCCTCTTACTCTTTCCTCTTCCTCCTTTATCCTCATCCCATTCATTCTCCCTTTTCGATCGTCTCTTTTACCTACATTTCATTCTACTTCAACGTCTTGTTCTCTTTCCACTTTAATCATGAAACACACTCACTTTTTATTCTTCTGCTCTTCTTCATAGGCCAATAAGTTCCACAATTCTTTCGTCTCTTGTTTTTCTTCTTTATCATATTTTCTTAAATACAACTGATACGCCTTGGATTGCCAACGGCCTATCGTTGTGATCTCGTCCAATGGTCGTTTCTCATTCCATCTAAACGACGCGCCTCCAACCCTAAACGAATGACCCGACAATTGATTTTCTTTGTCGTTCTGTTTCCAGATCCTCTTATAAATCCCCATTGATTTGGCCTTCGTTATCGTGCTTCTTTGTCCGTTTGTCTCCAAATACGAAAACAAGGGGTCCTTGGGACCTGTCTGATTATCTCTCACCATTCTCTCGAGTGCTGAGGTTGCGTCTAAATACGATTGCTGTTGCTTCAATTTAATGTATTGTACTTGGCCTGGCTGTGCCGTCTTCGCGTTGAACAGCGCTATCGACACTTTTGATCCTTCTCCAGTTACCTGTAAGTCCTTGAACCTTATCAACCTCTTCTTTTTGTCACCTGATACTAGCTCTCCTAAACGCGCCATTCCCCAGAATGCCACCAGCGCGATTGCCAACGCTACTTGATCTCTCTTGCTTCCATTTGATAGATTCTTCAATAATTGCACCAGATGCTTTATCATTACCGGGCTCTTTCGATCTTTCTCTGAATCTTTTATCACCGTTTCTGCCAACTTTGACGATTTCAATAGTACTGATAATTTTAAGGAGCTATACTTTGGGTATTCCTCGTCATGGAATAGATGCCAACATTTCACCCCAGTAAGATACTTTTTCAACGTTTCTACCTCTATCGTCACTTGATTCTGATTATCTCTTTCTGTCTTCCCATCTTCTCCTAACTTCTTCCCTGCCCAAACTATGAATTCGTACAATAAGTTCATCAACAGTGGCAGTAATTGCCTCCTTTCGTAACCTTTTTCTTGAGAAAATTTTATTAATTTTACAACACCACTATTATAATTTATTAAAGTCGCCTCGGCCCAGCCTCCTGAAAACATATGAGTTTGAACACTATTTTCTCTCCACTTCATCTCTCCTCTCGCGTCTTGTAAAAAATGTCGTATCTTATGTTCTACCTTCGGCGATATCATGCTTCTTCTAAAAGCATCCGTAAGTCTTCTGGTAGGTCGATGTTTACTCTTTCTCCAGCCTGATCCTCTTCTTCCAGACCTCTCGATAGCCCGTCTGTGTCGTTGTTTCCAGATTCTACCCGTTCCTCCGTTATATCGCACTGAAGCCGTAATAGTAAGTCTTGAATCCTTTTCCACTCCTCGTTGACTTGTTCGCTCTTTGACCGTCTCTTGTTTATTGTTGACTCCGTAGTAGTGTTATCAGTTTTCACCCAAAAGTTTCTACCTCGTGTATCTATCGACACTTCTAATAGCAGCAGGCCCAACCTTATCGCCGCCGTTTCGGCCCATGCTATGTCGCGACTTGTTTCGTCTTCTCCCAGTCCTTTCCTCTGCCAGCCATCCTTTAACTTAAAACGTAACCAGCCGTGGTCTGTTATCACTCCCATTCCGAATCCGCTCGCGTCACCAACCCATCCAACCCTTTCCGGGTCTACCGATGGCACAATCCTCCTAGGTTCGAAATTTGTCAAGGCCTCTTTCCAGCTCTCCAAGTCGTTTCTTGCCGCCCTCGATAAAAATCTCTTCGCGTTGGTCTTTTGCCACGGGTTTAACCAAGCGTATAATCCCCTCATGTAGGGTTTCATATGAGGTACAATGTACATGAGATGTGCTATTTTTCCTATTGTTGAGTCTGCTTCCTTTAAACTCCACAGTCCTTCTCCCAACATTTTCACTATCGCTTCTAACCTTTCTGTTAATTTTTCTTCAGGTAATCTTACTGTCTTATCGCGTCCGTTGAAAATGAAACCTAAATATTTCTGCTCGTCTGCGAAGTCTCGCAGTTTTTCTTGGTTGGTTTTGACTCCCATCTCCGTGCTCAACTCCACGATGTCCTCAATACGTAAGTTCTCACCTTCAATCTTCACAATCATATTATCATCCACCCATCTGAAGATTCTATCAATCTTCAAGTGCTTTTGTACTATCAGTCTCCACGCGTCTGCTACCTTCCCGAAGGTCCCACATCCAGCAACTCCACCGAACGGCACCGCGATATCCATCCAAATCCTGTTATAGAAGTCCTTAATCATCAAGTAGCGCCATTCCTCCTCTTTTGTACACGCTTGCCTATAAGCCTTCTCCCAATCGTAGATTGCCAACATCAAAATTTCGTGGAAATGTTCTCTAAAATACCGAGCCACCGCGTGGAAATTGTCCCACGATGTGTCGAATTCTCGTTTGTCTACCATCGAATTCACTGAGGGTATATTTTCATCTTCTACCGGGTATGATAAGTCATTTATCATCCTCAAGGATCCGTCGTTGTTTACCACACTACCCATTGGATTTGTGCGGAAGAAACCCCATTTCGCGTATACCTCTTCATGTGAAAATGGCCCAAACACTTGGCCTGCTCCCTTCTCTCTTTGTAAGTTTTTCATGATCTTCTCCTTCACCGCCAACGCCGATCTATGATTGTCCGGCGTCCACCATCTCTTGCCGCCTAGGTAATGCTCCGGTATTCCTTGAGTGAAACCGTTTACCAGGCCTTCTAGTACGTCTTCTATTTCTCCTTCTACTCCTGACTCCCGTGCTAACTCTCGCCATCTCTTTATATTCATTTCACATTTAGCTCTTCTAGGCCATTTCGACCGAACTTTGTTTCTTGAGTCTTTATCTTGCAGATTTATTGATCCTTCTCGTCTCTCTCGTTGTTTTTCCTGAGCAGTGTGGCGCTGTTCTGGGCTCCTTTCAGCCTCTTCTCCTATTTGCCTTTCTGGCGTGTCTCTTACATCAACTATTCCTCTCACCGGTGCGGATCTGGAATGTGCAAAGGTAGGCAAATTTGTGGCAATCTCAGTTTCTCTCATTCTCACGGGTTTTGGTCTCTTTGCTCTAGGAAACATCATCCTTGGGAATGCATTTCTCTCCATTTCTCCATGCTCATTGCTTTCTAGGGCGATTTCACTTCTATGGACAAAAAAACTAAAGGAGAACACAATAAACTATTTTTATTACTACTCACTGAGCACTCGCACCATTTCCTCCTGTCCCAGCTTGTTTCGCTGCTTTCACCGCCTCAAAAGCTCCTGGTCCGAACTTTGGCACCGTCACCCCATTCACCACGGTCGTTGGTCCTGAGTGACCACCTCTCGAACCTCCACCTCTTGCATTAATTCCACGACTTACTCCTCTACCTCTTCTACCTCTTCCTCTACCGTTTTGACTAAAACTTCCATTTCCGTTCAACTCCCCGAACTCATGATGGCTGACATTTTGGTGATGAGATGATTCCCCGAAGAATTGTCCGGTCATTCCCTGTGCCTGACTTCTTCCACTGGGTGCAAGGTGGGATAACATCCTGCCTCCTGTCACCGCCGTTGTCTGCTCGTCTCCGTTGGATATCATGTCCCAGCCTACTTGATACCTTCCGGTTGCTGGGTTCACGTTCTCCATCGCACCACCTATGATATAAGGATTGTCAAAGTATCTGTGGTCCTTATTCGCTTTAGAGTCCGTTATAGCTTGTTCCACCAGTTCTTCGTTTCTCGTACCAACATCAGACAAGGATCTGTCTTCTAACGTATGGCTGAATACGTTCGTTCTGTGAGTAATGTCATATCTCAGCGCCGGAGCGAACGCGTCGTGATTTCTAGCTTTAATGTCTAATACTATTTTATAATGTTCTTCTAGTCTTTTAGCGATATCTTCTTGTTGGTACTTTGATCTCCAATACTGGACATAAAGATGGAAAGATGTTGACCACATTAAAAAACTTTGTCTCCATTCACTAGGTACCCTCAATCCGACGTATGCTACTACATCCGAACACGATGAGCTTTGCTTCCTTCTATTCGACATGTGATTCTTATCTGCTAGCAACCAGGCTGGAACAAAAATCGTGAGAGGTACATAGCCGAAACAAGCCTTCATCCTATTGTCCCAGTAAGGAGCCAAGTCTATCAACTTATGTGTCAATACCTTCCCGGTATTCATCTTCTTTGCCACCTTCGTTGACTTTTCACTACATGTTTCTTTCGCTTTTCTCTTCGTAAAGTGGGTGTAGAATTGAAATAATCAAGAAGTTTCACAAGCTGGATGAAGTACTTGATTTATACCTTCAGGCTTCCAGAGCTATTCAAGCTGTGCTCGATGACTCGTTGAGAAGAGAGATCGGAGATGTTAAGATTACCTCGCACGAAGCAATCTCCGGCCTTTACAACCTCGACAACAAGGTTTAACAACGTTTTGACAATCTGAGATTGTTTGCAAAAAGGCAAGGCTTTGGAAACCGATCTCTTTCTTAGGCCCGAAAATTATATGCCTCGAGCATCTCGTGGGTCTCAAACAACCGGAGCCCATGGGGCTCTCGGTGATAGATAGATACTAACACTACAGATCAAATCAAGAACACCAAGACAAAATTTGTTAAACGCACTGCCTCAATAAGAGCAAAGATGACTTCCTAGCTGGACGTACATGATCCAGCCTCCGTTCGAGAAAGCCTTTAAGGTGTCAAGTGGGATATTACAATGTCAAAGATCATGTTCGGTTTGGTCAATGAGCTCTTTGAACAGCATATCTTCCATAAAAAGGTTAGACTATGAATTGATCAGGGATTGAAGCAAGAAGTGGCTATCCTTTTTGTTATTCTCAAGGAAAACTTTGAGTGTTTATCAGGTCTAGTCACGCAGAAGAATATGAAGCTGATCATAAGTGCTGTCACCGGGTGTGAGCGTGAGTGGTGTGTCAAGTTTCAAGATAAAGAAAAGGCCGCGTAAGATGTATTTGATTAAGTACTTAGCAGAAAGAGAACCAGCCATTTGATTTTTGATCAGATAACTTCACAAACCAATAATACCATTGGCTCCAGTCTGACTCTGATTATTTATACTTCAAGTTCTTCTATATAATGGATCTAATACCTTATATTTATCATGAAACACAAGATCCAGGTTCGATGTTATGTGCTCAACACGCATTAAACAACTTGATGCAATCTCATATTTGGTAAACTCATTCATTCATTCAACTTATACTTATACTTTCAAAGGCTGATATATATTAAATAATTCTTTTTAAAAAGGACTGCAAACGATCTAGCTGAAATCGCTCATAGATTAGATTCAATAGAAGATTCTCATTTAGATACTCAAACTCGATCTCAACGTCAAGGTAGAAGTGCTAATTATGATGATAGTGGTCAGTCTTCAATCTAATCTTGAAAAAAAAAAGGAACAGATCATCTTCTAATACATATATAAATTGATATGATTTGATAGGTTTCTTTTCGGTTCAAGTGATTGATGATGCACTTCATCAACTTGGTCTTCGATTAGTAAGGTGGCAAAGTGATGAAATGAAACCGATGCATGCTTATCCAGAGTAAGAATCAAAATCATCTGTTTACCTAATCTTTTTGATGAGAAGTCTGACTTTTTTGATTACTTCAAGGAACCAAGAAGCTTTTATTCTGAATCACGATTTACATTGGTTCACACTACGTCGATTTGGTGGTAATTCAGATCGATGGTAATTCAACTCAGCTACACAAAATTCAATGATCATCCTACCTAAGCCTAAGCCTAAGACTACATGAGAGATGCTAATGAATTCAATCGCTCTTATAGGTACGATCTTAACTCAGTCACCGGTAAAACTCCAACTTGGATTGGTTCTGGTTTTCTCAGTATGACAATCTCACAAGCTGAGGCTGAAGGTCATCAAAAATTTCACTCACCTCTTCCAACATCAGATCGTTGACATTTTTTCTCTTTGAATCCTCTAGGTTATTCAATCTTTGCCGTCTCACCTGTTTTAGCTTCATCTGATCCTACCGCACCTCAACCTGGTACACTGATGGCATGTGAAGCAGATGAACAAGCACAATCTTTAAATCCTTTCTTATATTCACCTCCAGTGGGTTCAAGTTCAGCAAGTAGTACGACTAACCGAAGAAGAAGATCGGATGAAGATATGATGGATGATGAACAACCAAGACAGAGAGTTAGAGTAGCTAATGATCAACTTCAAAACTTATCTGAAGCTGAACAACTACGGCTAGCGATCGAAGCTAGTCTAATAACCGACCCACAAAGGACAACTTCGAACGATCGTAATGATTCAGATGATGAGGCACAAGCATTTGAAGAGGCAAATCACTCACATCCATCCGATCCGTCATTATTCTCTCATACGGCTCCTGCTAGAGAATATAATCCAGATTTCGAATCTCAATTAGAAGCTGCTATCCGAGCAAGTTTAGAAGAATCCGGTAGTGATGGTCCATCCGATTCGACACCTGATCTTTCCCTCTCTGGTCTTCCTTCCTCACTTCCTCAGAATGATGGGAATTGGGATGAACCAACAGCTGAAGAACTTCGATTGAGACGTTTAGCTCGGTTTGCTTAATCTATTGGGTCATCTTCTTTCTCTTTTGTGCTACATATCTATTTCAATCTTTTGTAATCATATAAATCACTTCCATCTTTACATCTCACTTTGTTGATTGTGGAAGGTATATTGGGAATCAGATGTGACATTGGTTCAATTAAACTCTGTCTTATCTCAGTGTATTTTATCTATTAATAGCGGATGATACAATTATGCAAGTATATATTACGCATTTTTGTTGTAATTTTTATTTCCCAATAAAAAGAAGTATACATCTCAATAAGAAAAAATGTCCCTAAAATCAAGACGTCTCTATGAAAGATTTGATGATGAATTCATCAAATCATAAACCTAACAATTCTTTATAATGTCTTTTAGCTTTTTCAACAGCTCTAATCGTACTTTCTAAAGCTTGAAAAATCAATTTCTTCTCAATCGAAAGTAATCTAGCTTCTTCAATCAAATGTGAAACTCTTTCATTAGTTCTTTCTAAGAATCCAATCATTCTTTGAGCTTTCATGGCTTTTTCTTCTGGATTTAAGATTCGTTTGTTCAAAGAAGATTCATGAGGGTTGATTTGGATCGGATTAGGTAAGATCGAAGACCAATAATGTCTTAAGAATTCATGTGTAGTTGAATGAGTTGAAATGACTTGTGACATTAAACTTGTAGGAATTCCACCTAAGCCAAAAAAATAATCAAAAAAAATATAAAATCACATGAATCGGTTCATCTCGAAATACCTAAAAGAAGTATAGAGTTCATTTGCAAAAAAGTTTACCTTCAAGAAACCCATTTCTCTGTTCATATCGAATCGTAATATTCTCAATCATCTCATTAGTCGCTTCATTAATCTCACTCTGATGATCTTCAAACCTACCCAATTTCATCTTCCAATCTTCACTTACTCTTCTCATAATCTCATTCACTTCTTGTTTTTCTTCTGATTCGCTTCGTTTACGTTTATGGTTTTCGACTTCTTGGTCTTTTTCAATCGAATGTCCTTGGAAATATCTTTCTTGTTCTTGTATGTTTAATAAGATTCGATCTGTTTCTTTATTGATCGTTAAATCTATCAAATTCGTGTCATCGTAATAGTTTCTTGAACCTGCATCTCCTCCATCTATCACTCCTCCTGTTCTTCTTTCGGGTACTTTACCTCTAACCAATTTTTGGTTGGAGATAAATTCAATGAATGTTCAGTATAGTTTATATAGTAGATGAAGGGAATGGATTTGCTTACAATGATGAGTTGAGAAGACGTTGAGAATGTTCATTAAACCTTCGCATTAATGGTAAAGATGATCTTTGAGTGCCAGCTCTCATAGTCCAATCATTCGAATTTCCAGTCTAAAACACGTTGTTCAAAACATTGATCTTCATCAGTTCATCCAAAAAAAGAGTTTGATCATAAAACAAAAAAGAAGCAAAAGAACGTAGAGATTGGATGGAAAAGCTCACTTCAAGATGATCTTCTTCTGTAGCAGCTAAATCCAAAAGTTTATAAACTTCTTTCACATTTAAATTCTTAGGTTCAATCCCATCATCATCTTCACCTAAATATTTATCAAAGATTTCATCATCTTTAACCGAATCACCTGGTTGTCTTGCCGAAGATCTATGACGATTGAATAATTTAGATCTAAAATAGCGTGTCCAAAAGAGTTGATCGTTTAACTATATCCAAAGAAATAGACACGTAAGATCAGGATCAGAAACGTGTACTTGAGAGTCTTACAATTCTTTGATCATCAGACTTACAGGTGGTACGTTTTCATTATAAACCTTTTGTACAATCGGATATTGTTCAAAGATATCATGAATAAGTTGAGGAGTCACCGAGATAGTGATATCACCCTGTTCATTAGATTCAGGTCTAGGATCGACCATCTCAGCTGATTTACCTTTCTTTTGGGATTCTAATCTAGATTGATAAATCAATAAATCTTCTCTACCATCCCAAAACTCTCCTTCTGTGATCTGGCCTCCAATCACCATCTCTTTATGTAACTCTCTTAATCCTGCATCAGTTTGTAGGACTTTTTTCTTCAGTCTCCAGTCTTGTAATGGATCTATTGATTTTCCTTTATCTATTGTTTCATTATGTAATTGGTTAATAGGTTCGTTAGGTAGTTGATTCGGTTCAATTGGCTTCGTAATATCTTTGGGAATCTCTTTGGATGCTCGGTTTTGGGCTATGATTTGTGAGATTTCTCTTTTAAATTCTTCTCGATCATCAATTGAAGTTTGAGAAGTAAAACTAAAATTAAAGATTTCTTCTGGTATCGTCGCAGTAGTTTCTTGTTGTTGATCTGTTACGGTTTCTTGGATTGGTTTTGCACAGATTCGTAACATCACTTTGGTTCCTCCATCTTTGGAAGAAAAGAGAGCTAAAAAGAAAAGAAATCAAGTTTCATATACGAGGTTAGTCTGTTGTGATTTCTTTGGGGGCTTTTAAATGATGAATGTTTTAACTTACATTGTAATCTGTGACGATCAACTGTTATGATTGAACCTGGTCCATCCTTTGGTCTCCAAGTTAAATTAGTTTTTGTTAATGATAACGTACCTGGTTTTTTCTTGTATGAAGTGATGGCTTTACAAATTGATGAATGATTTGAATTTGATGAACTTCCGATATTGTTAGTTGACATTTTCTTATTGGTATTCTTTTTAATGATTAGTTGTTGATTTGGTTTTCATTCTTGATGGTTTCTTGTTTGATGAAGAACGCGATCAAGAATTCAAGAGAGTGTGTCATTGAAATATTTACATGTAACAAGTTGACATCTGATCATCTACACTGTAACACATCTGTGAAAGATCATGTAGATCACCTTATTTTATAGGGCAGAACATGAGATATACTCTACAAATATACTCTGCAAATCAAGTGGTTTGACCTTCAATACCCAACTGATATTTAATATTGGTTCCATTCAGTAAGCTGAAAGCCTTTTATTGTAAAACAAAATAGTCATCAAGACAATCAATTCTAAAGGATTTCTATTGGTTTCATACACCAGCCTTTTACTCAAAGACTGCTTGTGATGGGAGTCTACAATCCTTCCAATCATACTCTTGATTGTACTCAATCCAGTCCTCAAGGAGAAACAACCAAACAGTTATATCATTTTTCATCCTGAACAACTCTGTTCCAACAGCACAATAATTGAATCAAGCCTTCTCAAATGAAAAGGTCAACTCACATCTCAAGGATCCTTTGACCTTTATCCAATAAAGCTTCTACAAATGTGCCAAAGCTGTTTGGTAACACAGAGTTTTTTTTCAAAATTGACTTTCATCATCCAATTTTAAATCTTCTCCAAACTTTCAAATAAATTCCATACCTCTATGTATCAAGTATATTAAGAAGTAATGTTTAAAAATACCAAAAAACTTTTCTCATCATAATCCTCATGATCTCAAGATAATTCTAACAGGAAACGTCAAAGAATCAAAAATCCTATATCATATATGATACCAACATTGCATAACCAAAATTCCTTGGCAAAAAAGCACCTTTTGAGTAAAAAAAGAAATGTATATAAGGGATCAATTCAAGAAAAAAGATAAACAATCATTTCTTTTAAATTCAATCCCCAACAACAATCCTCACCACATTACACACCTGAACAAAGACTTGAATAATATCGAGTTCAAAGATAAATCAAACAGTGTGCGTAATTTTTTTTCTTCTTCTTGATATGTAATATCTATAAATGTATGTATACTACTATAATAACTACGAATACTACTGCCGATAGTGGTGATGATCACAACATACAACAAATAGAAAGAAAGAAAATAATTGAAAAAAAAAAATCATCTTCATCTTCCTTCCTTCCTCAATTTCTCTTTCTCCAATTCTCAATTCTTTCAAGATCCTAACCCATATAAACACATTCAATTCCATTCTGTTTCTTGATAAGATTTAGACTCGAGATCTTTTTCTTTATATACCGAGTTTAACTACATTGGACTTGGAAATCTTCATATTTCCAATAAGACATCAGGGACCTGTATCGAGGAATTGGTGATGATTCATCAGGAAGGAAAAAAAAGAAGAAACAACATACAGCGAGTCAATCGTCAGCTACAACGGCCTCCTTATCGACCTTTTGAGAAGTAGCATCAGGTTCAAGGACTGAATCGGGAGTAGGTTGTTCAGGGGGCGTACTAGCACCACAATCCATCTTGTCATCTTCTTCGTCCGGCGTCACTTCAGGCTTCCCGGTTTTCAGAGCAGGAGTCTCCTTTATATCTTCCCCGTCAGCCACTATATCGAGGTTCACATCTTCCTTGGCAACCACCACCTCGGTTTCCACATCCTCCTTCTCAGATGCTTTCTTGGTCTCGTCGGCCTCTTGCATCACCTCGTCCTCTTCGACCTTGCCATTAGTAACGGGCTTCTTATCTTCAGATTCGAGGACTTCCGTTTCACTCTTTGAAACCACAACATCATGCGTCGAATCTCCGTTTTGCTTGGAGGCTTGGTCCTCGTCAGAAGGCTTGTCCGAGGTCTCTGGTACACTTTTTGCTGATGTGTCTGGCTTGTCGTTCACCTGGGGAAGTGCTGGAGTATCTACATCCATCGGTTCAGTTGCTTCTTTTGGCAATGCCTTCGAATCCTCTTTCAGGTTCTTGACTGCATCCTCAGCGGGGGTAGTAGGTAATGCTGGGATCTCGGCCGGATCATTGGAAACTTCTACATTCGGTTGCACGCGATGAGCATCTTCGCCGATGCCAAGCAACAGTCGCCATTTCTCCTGTAACTCGCGAGATCGACTACGGATGTGGTATGTGTCATCTAAAGGCACCTTGGAATCTTCAAGCGCACCGATTCGCTTGAGAACTTTGCCTAGTTTACTGGCCTGTGAATTTAAATCAAAATGAATATTAAAATATGCAAATATGGAAGAGTTGAGTCAAATTCTGGACTGGACTTACAGTTAACCACTCGGTTTTCATTTCAAAGCCCTCAATATCCGTGAAGGTCTGATCAATCTCAGGCATCATCTACACAGAATAAAAGATGACGAGTCAAGTTTAGTAAAAAAAGTCTCTTGATCCGAGACTTTCGATGAGCACCCACCTCCTCTGTGACTTCTATCTTGCCTAAGAAGATCCTCTGAAGTTTGTGACGCCATTCGCGCACAGTCTCTACTCCTGGAGCTGGTGCGGGGGCTTCATCTTTCTTTCGGCCTCGCTGTTATCACAAACCAAGTGGAAAAATCGTGTCAGCACCACGAGAAAGACAACAACCCAAACCAAGTAGCTTTATGTATGTACCTTTTTCGTTGCAGAGGGAGCGGTAGGCTCAGGTGTAGCACTCGCATTCTTGGATCCGTTGGTGGCACGTGTCACCTCAGATTTTCGCTTCTTGGCTGACTCCTGTGGAGCTTTGGCCTCCGATGGACGTTTTCGTTTGGCCTTCGTATTTGGAGCTACCGCTGGGGCTTCATCGCTCTCACCGGCTTCTAGTTCATCAAACTCAAGAGCCTCCAAGTGTTGTAATTGGCGACGAATTTGAGCTTCCTGCTCTGCTTCCCAATCTGTAGGGTCAAGAGCGATCTTATAAGCTGCACGTAGTTCTGCTCCCTTCTTGTTTGGGTTATCGATAAAAGCCTGATGAGAGAAATCGAAAAGGTCAGTCTTTCGACTTGTATGACGTGCAATAGAAGGTAAAAAAGCTTCGAAGACAAAAAACATAGCAAAAGATCGGAAATGAACGAGAACGAGAACGGACCTTGATTTCTGTTGCTTCCAATTTGCCCATCTCCTTTGCATTCATCCAGGCACTACATTATATAGAATCAAAACACAACTTCAATCAGTGAGGTCCTGATGATGTGTCTAGACTTTAAAACTTACTAATCCCCTGTCTGGAAAAACTTCACCAGATAAGAGTTTTTCTGAGCGATTTTTCGCTCGTCTTGTAGATTCGTTGGTGCGGTATGCGGATCGATAATCTTGTCGATTGAAAGATCGTCCGCGTTCAAAGTTCAGGTAAAATCGGTAGCAATGACGTCAAGACTCTTCAAGTTCTTGACACTGAAAGGACCAGTATGGGTTGAAATGAATAGCAACTGACCCTAGCAGGCCAAGCTGGATGTCCTTTCACCTTTGCGAGAACGATATCCAAGATCTCATCTGCAAAACGTGTCAAGGAGGGTGAAATAATGAGTCCGCTCGGCATCAATAACCATATGAGGTGACATAGACATAAATGGAGCCGACCAAAACAGGGATCGATTGTAGCAACAGGGAATTAGAAGAAGACAAGACTTAGGTACGCAGTCGGACGAGATATTGTCCAAATGCTGGTCATTTCGAGAGTTGAGTGGAAAGAGGTAAAAGAAAGAGGGAGTACAAGGATATCTGCCACATGAATCAAGAAGGGAAAAAACACGCGTGAGATAGGCACTTACATTGGATCGTTTCTGTTGCAGTAGCAGACGCAGTACTGTTTCTAGGTCCTTTGTTAGGCATTTTGGTTGAGATGGAGGCGAAGATGAGTTGAGACCGAGTTTTAGGGGCTGCCTTCGAGGACCTTAACGGATCTTCGAGTGAGGAAAGTCTGGGAACAAGTTCGAGGAAAAGCCATCTAGCGCGTCAGTTGTCTGAAGGCATTTTGAAAAGGCTCATGAGCTGAACCCACGATTATATTGGAGGTTACCGAACGATCGAGATCGCTTGTTGAATCTCTCAAGTCCGATCTGACTGATTTTTACACAAAGTTTATGGATCGACGTATATCGATCAGACTGATTTATGTACGTGTCTGCCTGTGCATAATAGATTCATGGTCAGTATATGAGATTAAATGAAAGGACATTGAAGAGGATATAAGAAAAGGAAAATAAGTGGAGTGATTTTTACATACCTGATATCGTGATGGTTAATTAGAGGAAAGTACAAACCAAACGAAAGAGATGAAGCGCGATTTAAGTAGTCGGTCCGATTGTATTGAATACTTTTTCTGTCTAGGGCCGGATACCGCAGTGAAACGGTCTCAAGGGGGACTTAAGCATATCTTAGGGAGCCGCTCGCCGGAAATACAACGCTGTACGTTTCTTTATGTAGTTCAAAGCTTGTGCACGCGACGAGGACGCGGGGACTTCCGATGGCTGTCACTCATCACTCATGAGTCAAGTCACAGGTAGTTGATAAATTTCTTGACCCGTAAAAGTGAACCACAAAAACCGATTTCAGGTGGGGGACTCTGCTGGTCAGTGCTGGATTTGACCCTTGTCTGAAACCTATGAAAAAGCTCCTATGCAAGTCAACTGGTTGAACTGAGTTGTGGGGCAAGCGGATATGTATCCGCACTTTTACGTCAGGTCGAACTGTGAAGTCTGTAACATACACCTGAACCGCCGAGTGCATTCCTAGGGTATGTACCGTTAGGGTACAGGGTTAATGTAATTGAACCTTGGGTCCATCCTGCACATCCAGGTTTATCCAGTACATCCCCAAAAGTGCTTCTTGTGGATATATACACACGAAAGCCACTACGCAATATCTACGCGGCGTGGGCGGTGGCGGACCAGCAGTACCGTGAACGATATGGGACCCCCATCAACGAGATCTCGAAAGTGCGATGGCTAGGAATCCACACTTCTCTGTTTCAGTCAAGAGGTCCGTGAGCGAGTCGAGGATAGCACTTGTTGAAGAACGCTGGATCGATTGGCATCAAAGATTTTGTATGATATTCGTCTTTACATTGCGCGCCAAATCAAGTGACATTGCAGTGGACCTCCGCCTGTACAGCACGCAACTTTCGTGATCATCAGGATCTATCCAACCTATGTCAGGAGTGTTTTTCTGAATGTAATATTTTTATTTGAGAGCTGCGATGAGGCTGTGGAATGATCCAATGGACAAACGGAGTATCTTTAGATATATACTTTCAGAAAGGCGAGAAGAAAGCTACTTACGCTTCAAAGACCTCTACTTCGACTGCTGCTTCAGCCTTTTGAGCTTCAGTTCCGGTTGACAAAGCACGTTGGGCCTCTTGAAGTCCAGCACGGGCCGCCTGTAATCCAAGACATAGACAATGTGAGCCTGATGAGGTTTAAGCAGTTGTGACTGTTGCCATTACGAAACGAACCTCAGCTGAAAAGGCCTCCAGGGGGTATGCCTCGACTGCATTGATAGTGAGGGAGTTGTTAGGATGTACGTTTGCAAATCCACCCGAAACTGAGGATAGAAAGACTAAGCTTTAGCAATCTTGATAATGTGGTTCAAACTCGAGGGAATCTTAGTTTACCAAACCACTTCTTGGAGTCCCCTTGATTTTCAATCACTTCTACGACACCTGGCTTCAAGCTTTCGATACTAGCCACATGATTTGCCAACACACCCATGTCCCCTGATTCAGCAGCAATGTTAACCTGAGTAACACCACTAGATGAAAAGATTGTCTAGTTTTTTCAATCGGGTTTTGATGGGCCATATCGTATTTTAGTCGTACGATTCGATCGTCCCATATAGTTTGAATTTGTTTTGAATTAAATGGCACCAAGTGTAATGAAGTTGACAGTCAACAAAATGTAAGTGTCAGAAAAATCTTGGAACGAGAAAGCTAGCAAAATCATCACAAAAACCATTTCTGGGAAAGAAAAGATCCTCGGCTAACCTCATGGGGAAGGACCAATGATAATTGGAGTTTACCATCTGCCGCACTGGTGGCAGGTGCCTCTGTAGCGTACATCCGGGCTGACTTGAGGCCTAAAGTTGAAGTCCTTTGGATTCCTCGAGGGACCAATCGAGGGAGAGCTGATCGAAGAAAAGACATGATGTAAGTTGTGAGTTGTGAGTTGATGAAATGTGTTGTTTGAGGATTCAGAAGCTTGAGTTGATCGAGTCGTAAAAATCAGAAAGGAACACAAGGAAAACCCAATGAATTCACATACACCACACTTGACATACCAGTGACAGGTGGCTGTCGGGTCCGTTAGGAATCGCACCTAATCGCACATAACACTCGAACTTAACTCAAGCTCTGGCCTCTTCGACACTGCGGCATCGAGTTGTTTGATATCCCTCATGAAGGGGCGTATCAAACAGATATCTCCTATACATACGCATTCTAGGCTACCCATAGAAAGTGGATGATATCTAGAATGATACCGAGTTATGAACTCATAGTTCTTCAAATACTGATTTTAACAACACAATCTTGATTCGGTTTGGCTATCACGATGCAAATGATTCCTTCGGCTTTGGCATGTTCTGACGCAACAGGTCTCCGTGAACACAGGCAGTGATAACGAGGTGTTATGAATTATCTTAAAAGTGGCGGGCAATTCCTTTCACCATCGAGGTTTTCAGCACTGGCAATGGGTTACTCTACGAGGTCAATAACCTAGTTTCTTCTATGCGAAAGAAGATTGCACAGGAGGAATGTTGATGAAAAATTGAACTTTACAATATCTGCAAAGATAATCATCATGTGCTACTTATTCGATTGAACAAATAAGAAGTGATGCGCATCATCACTTTGAAGATAGGAATTGGTTTAGATCCCGATCAACTTTTTTCAAGGAGGATCTTTTAGAGCAAACCGAGCTATGTATCCAAGATCATAGAAACCAAATCCGATAAATCAGTTGGTCTTGCTGCTTTCAACGAGTATATCGGAATGCTACGCACATACATCATCCTGGAGAACTCTTTGGATCGTAGTCAGGAGGAAAATATCAAGTATGAGGAGCAATAAGATAGAAAGGATTTTTTCATTGCATACGCCAATACTGGTCGGCATACCCTTGGTCCTGGAAAGATCTGAAAGAGTATGCCGGTTCATGTAAAAAAACAACTACTTCCTAGATGAAAGAGATGGGGAACAGCTCTCGGTGATATACGCTCAGGTGTGATAGTGTAGTTGACTTTGCATCAATATCATTTGAAAAAAACTTGAGATCTGTTCTGTACTTCACAATGTGTGCTTGTCTATTACTTCTTCTCTTTTTCTTATTTTTTTGAATCTACTCTTCGAGTACATTCATCCTTGCTCCCTTGAGTGTTTAATATTGTCATCCGTCTCTATGTTGAACTATGTTGAACAATTTATATCTTTCTTTGAGAGTGATGTGTTGAGCATTACATAGAATTATACGATCTTGAATGATCATCACCTGATGCAATTCACATCATTGCTTTCATAGAAAGATTCGTCAGTTGAACCAAAGGGAAGAGATATCTGACTGGAGTTGGGATGTCAGTCGACGACGAGCCAGAAGGCCAACTCATGTACATTGTATACCTTCACGCTCCAGCTGATGAAAAGCTCTATCAGAATCATAACCAGCGCGTCAGCTGAATTCAATTTTGTTTGGATGCTTTCAAGGCGGTCGACTTGGCGGATCACGATTGTTCGTATCACACTTTTGTCTGTGAAGCGTGTCCCTTTCATCTGGGTTCAGCTCACGAATCAAGTGATAATCAAATGTGACAGTCATGTTAATGCTACGTTACCCTACATTTTGGAAATTTGAACTTGTTGCAATGAAGTAAAAGCACAAACTTTCAAATCCCCGTCAAAGGGACGTCACAATAAAAGAGTAATCACTATGTGAATGATTATTATCTTTGTTTTTGTTCAGCCAGCATTCTCCGTGGGAAGGACGTGATTCGACCGGTTGAACAACTGAACGATTGACGAAAACTTAGAAAGTTGGTATCTTTCTCGGTGAAGGTAGAGAAACAAAAAAACTCCCAAGATGTCGAACTTCACAGAAGCCAATCCCCACGATGATAGCCATATGATGAGGGAAGCAAGCTGCTACTTTGGTATCTTTGAATTCCTATTCACTCAGCCACTTCAAAGCATTCAAAAAGATATGTTGATATATATCTTTTGATTACAAATTAGATTGACAGATAAAAGTAAAGGAGCTCAGAGTGAGGGTATTTAAAGTACTAATTGATTCAAATATCGGCAACGACTCGATACGAATATTCAAAAAGTAAACTCCTGCTCATCATCGCAAAACAAAAACAACAAGAACACATTTCAAACGAGAGAATGGAATGCTCACCAAACAAGACATTGAGATAAGGAAATAGATCGGGGAACACGTCGCCTGCCAAGTCACAAGAGATTTGGGAAGAGTCAAAAGGATTAGATCACTCAAAATACTTAATGAGTTCGCGCTCAGAAAAGATGAATTGATGGGAAATGAAGGCAGAGATAACATACCAAGATGAAATCAAGTCGAGTTCTTCAAACTTCACCCGTTAAAAAAGGTCGAGGAGGACCAGGAAGACCGCAGTTTGAGGGACCTTCACCTAGAAGCAATTGTCAATTTAGGAAGAGTTTCAGCTGGTTTATAAAATCATGAGAAGGAAGAACTGTAGGAAAGATAACATACCTAGATCAATTTCAACAAATTCGGCTGGAAGGGGGATTGGAGCATCGAGAGGTTTTGGAAGAGGAGCTACTGGACCGAGTTCGATATCTTTCTCAGGAATAGTCGAAGGCTTCTTTGGAAGAGTGTCGTGGCGAGAGTAAAGAATATGAGAATAGAAATAAGCCCAAGGAAGAATGATGTACAACTTTTTAGCGATGAGTTTAAGGATGAACGACTCTGGAACTTTGAAACGAGAGATCTTGTGAGTGCCACAAATCAAAAAGATAACAAAGAAGAAGTTCAACGGGAAGTAAACAAAGAGGGTTTTTTGAAAACGAGGACCAAAGATCTTTTTAAAAGTTAACTTGGGGAGATTCATGGTGACAAGGAAGTTGAAGACGAGTGGGAAGGATTCAAGAGGTAGTGAAAAAAGTTTATGGAAAGGATAATTTTGTGGTGGTGGTAGAGAGTTGGGATGGAGAAGAACAGCGATCAGAGAAAGTTAGGATATTTGTACCCGATCCATACAGCTTCGAAGCTGATCCACACGTGACCTTTCTCAGAAGGGGGAGCACGTGATCATAATGTTTGCGACTTTTTTTGCTGTCATATTGATAATGCTTACTTCATATTAAATCAACCAAGCATTGGCAATCACCCTGTTGAGCGCTGCTACTGTGTATCAATCATCATCATGTCTTACTAGTCCTCAATTCGTCATAAAAACCTGTTATACATTGATGCTTGTCTATTTTAATGATTCTTGTTTATATCAATAAATCTATGCAAGTGTAGAAATACAAAAAACTTGATATATATATGCTATTCAACAAAGATATTAAATAGATAAATAATCAATAGAGATATATATGAACTTTTCGATGATGATTGAGAAAAACAAAACTAATGCAATACAAAACAAAACAAAAACAAAGATGTGGTAGTATGCTTAAGATAAAAAAACATTTCAAGAATTTTAAAACCATTCATCATGCTAATAAAACAAACAAATCACTACGAAAAAAACTTAGACTTAAAAAACGACTTTGTACAGATGCAAAACGAAAAATTGTCTTTACAAATAAGATAGATACATAAATTTTTCAAGTATGTACCAAGAAACTTCATCCAATTCGTCCGAAAAAGTTCAAACTACAACCTCCTAAATCCCTGAATAATTTACACTTCGTTGATTAATGATTTTAATCTTTGAATAATGTTTGATAAAGTAGGTCTAAGGTTGATATCAGGTTCACACATTTCTTTTATAAGTTTAATGATTTCTTCATCTACGATTTCTTCTTTATTCAAAAACCAAAGGATCGGACTGGAATCAGAATAAACCTTTGTTTGTGGTCTTGGTGTTAAAGGTGTAGATTCGAGTTCAGGTTCGATCATTTCTTCCTCTTCTTCTTCAAACGATTGAGTATGTCCAACAAGTTCAGCAATAGCACTCTGACTGAGTTGTTTCTTTCTTCCAAATTGGATCTTTTCTCCTAATCCTTCTCCAATACAATCTAGCCTATTTCTACATTCGTTTTCCCAAAACCCACCTCTGCTTACCATCAACATCATTTCAACTGGTCTTTTGATATTCGAATATGGTTCTCGTCCAGTAAGTGAATACCATAATGTTAATGCTAATGAAAAGATATCAGATCCTTTTCTGATCTTGCCTCCTTCTGGTGAAATTAATTCAGGTGCTGAATATGATAATGTTCCAATATATCCTTCGTGATCTTCTGATTCTCCTTCCATGACTATTGCTCGATTAAAGTCTGCTAATTTAATCTCACATTTATTAGTTAACTACAAAATCCAAATGAAGTTTGTGAGTATGACATTTTCTTGAATAGTTGATAACGTGATGCAAATATATATTCAACTTACGAGTACATTGTGCGGTTTTAGATCACCAACAAGAACTTGATGATCATGACACCACTGAACAGCCGTAGCAAGTTCAATAGCCCATTTGATCCAGAGCTTTCTTCCCATCTTTTTTCGATTGGATTGATCAGCCACAAATTCAAAAAGTGTACCACCCGAGCAATATTCAAGTAAGAGTGTCAGTCTAGATTTCGAGAGTTTTGTTTCAGATGCTAAGGCTTCATCAACTAATCCAATAAATCCAACGATATGAGGTCCAGATTTAAGTCTAGTAAGTATATTTGCTTCGGTGATCGCTGTTGCTTCTTCACCAATCTCAGTTCTTTTAGCAGCGCATAAAGACCAAGTTGATTTGTTGGTTGATGAGAAAGCTGCTGCATAAACAGTTGCATGTCTACCATTTCCAAGTAGATAAGTTGGTGTAGGAAAAAGTTTTAAGCGTAATCCAGAGGAGAGCATAGCTTGGTTGGTATGTAAAGGCGGTGAATCAGGAATCACAGTGGGTAGGCTTTCAGGTAAAACAAGAGGTCGATTGAAAGGTACGTTTGGAGCCGGTACATTCCAAGAGACTCCAAAGATGTCATTTTTAGATGAACTCTTGTTGATAGGCTGATAAGATGGCTTAGGCTTGATCAATGGAGAATCTGGAGGTGAGGTGAATGATAAATGATGAAATCCGTGATGAGGTTTATAATTGTCTTCGAATGAGGAGCGAGGAGAGTTAGAGGCTGATCCCATGGAGCTGAAAGACGAATCAGATGAATCTTGTAGTAGTGAAAATGACATTGTAAAAGTTGAACTTGAGGATGAAGATGTCAAAAGCGAGAGAAAGAAGATGGGCAAAAAAGAGGGGTGTAGAATGTATGCAGTCTTATTTAAGTTAGTCTTGTTATGACTTGATGAGACTCTGCAGGATGTTGTTGAAACAGTTTACGTAAATATATATTGAGGGGACAAATAGTCTGATCGAAGTGAAATTGTTTGAGCCGCGAGGAGAACCGAAAAACTCAAGAGTCTCTACTTTGTGGCTGTACTATCCAAGAGGGTGTGTTTGATTGATGAGGAGAAAGTTCACAATCACACTCGGGAGACGAGAGAGTTAACGTGTATGTACTATACGCTGGACACAGCTAGAGACTACTGATGAAATTGTTATAAGAACAGACAAGTTTGAGGGTGGGGTTTAATGTTCTATGGATGAAACGTGCAAAGAAATAAGAATTCATTGAAACCATTTTCAATCGAATTTGAGAACATAGATGTGGATGGATGAGGGATTATTATGACTCACATCACTTGTCAACTAAGGACGTCAAACCAACCAATATTTCAAGATTGTGATCAGATTTAGTATGTTTCAATGCCCTCTTGTCGATCCCCACGGCTTGACGAATTGGCTGGTGGAACGGAACTTGAAGCTTAGGATAGGAATAGACTCGTATATGAAGTAAGGATACGATTCGGAAGTTTTATATATACGGCTGAGGAAGGAGTTAAGAAGAATTAATAAGGCATGGACATTGTGAATGAAGTCAAACTGTCAAAGTTTGGAAATTATCGCAAAAAATGTAGAATCCAATAACTTATCATCATTGAAATAAAGGAAAACAAACCCACTTTTGTAAAAGAGAGATATCCCAATCGTAATGGGATTAGAATTGGTAGTGGATGCCAGGTGAGTGATGAAAGTTGGTAGTATAGCTTGAGATTGAAATTGAAAATGCTCAGTCGTTAAATAATGAATTATCTAAGCAAAAGTGAAGATTCAGATGTTTTCAAAAAAAACTTTCTAGTTTTGCTTCAGGGAAAACTTCAAAGTTATTCGAAGCGACTTTTGTATGTCAGCCTTTCCGAGAGAGCGAAAGGGAAAGTAAATCGATTCGAATGTTTTTTGTAAAAAAAGAGCTTACAATTCGATCTGTGGTGTAGTATTTTATCTTTGTCAAACTTGTTGAAATCACTCAAATCCTTATCATGGGTAAATCGTTATCACTGAAGATCCAAAATCTTGAAATGATTTCTTATCTAAATACGGTTTATCTTTATAATCTTATCTAATCAAGAAGTGGTCAATATCAATTGATATATATATCTTTGATTGAATTTATCGATAATAACTTTTTGTAAAGTGTGAAAAGAAAGAAAACGATCGATTGATAAGATTCGTAGTCTTCTAAGAGTGATCAAGACTTTTGCTTCGTGTTTGTTTGTTTTGGCGATTTTAAAACCAATTTGGATGTACAAAAAGTTGGATGTGTTCTTTGTATGTTTTCCTCGTCAACTGTTCTTTGATGTGATGGAGCTCAAGGGAATTGAAAATGAAAAGGTTCATCATAGGGAGCGAGAGTGCTCTTGAGAATACAAATCGATGGTTTAGTAAATAAATGAAGACTCTCACACTTGAATTGACTAATAATAATAGCACAGCCTCCGAGTCCAACTGCTCTCATCATCGTAAGAGATCCTTAAAGTGGGGAAGCGCTTGTACAAATAAAAGGCTAAAAATGTGAAATAGCCAAGCATTTTAACATCAGAAGTTCAACTGATGAAGACCCTTGATATTTCTCTTCAGGGACTCTCACCTGATCTCAAATGATCACCATGTGATGAGGACTGATGAGGATATCTGGGTGGATGTCAAAGTTGGATGAATAGTTTTTCAAAAGCAGCTCGCTGGACCCGGAGGTGATAGTGCGCGCCCTATCACAGACGCCATGCGGGCACGCCGGTGACCCAGACCGCCCGGGTACCCGTGGTTTTTTTGTCCAATCATTTTTAATCTTTTTCTTTCAACATAGGCTCAGTCTTTTGGATGTTCAGGTAGGCCCACATACAGCCTGTCTGAGAATGAATGTTTTTTTTGAAAAGCACATCATGGTGCAAAATCTGGTTTTGTTTTTGATCAAGTTTTGTTTGTCTGCTGAATTTGTGCATACAGAGAATCCAAAGCCTGTCAAAACACTTTTTGGTTGGTTTTGACCACTATGGCAACTCTTTGAAAAAAGTGGTCAATCATTCTCAGTATGGCTGTAGCCTCTAGAGAACTTATGATACACATACAATGGCAACAAATGGTCAAAATCATTGCATTTTTAGCACATTTTTACGCCTATAAAGCATTCAAGATGTGTCCTGGTTGGCCCGGAGTGGTTTTTGAAATCCCTTGGGTCCACACAAGGACAGATTTGGCACTGTGACCAGCCCTGAACTTTAGGGTTGGGTCACAGCAACATGGCCACTATACTATACTATACCATACCAGTATAGCACTATACCTGGTATATCACCTCACATACAACTCCTTACAATTAATCAGATGATCAATAACAACATGACCAATCAATCAACCTGATGAGATTGTCCCCATCAAGCCCCTCACCAACATACCCACAACAGTGTACGTATGTACAATAGTATTAGGTATGAAAATGTTTGCAATTGTGTTCTTGTGTTTGACCAAAGTGTGATTGAAGAAAATATTCTTTTAGGTCAAAAAAGCAGCCAGCAACAAGAAAAAGAGAAAATACAAGTTTTGACAAGATTCCCTGGTGTCTGAATTCATGTAAAGAGTGAAATCATGTAGACTGAACATTGTAGATGGTATAGAGATCACACAGCAAACATCATTTTCCTGATTTCTTTCTATTGATAGTTGTTAATGTAAGATGACTGTATTGGCATCAAGAATAAATGGAAACTCACAGGGTTTGCCCCTTATCAGCATTACAAAATAGATGAAATCAAACTTGTTATTTCATTTTTGATAGCTGTTCTATCATTGTGCTCTAACAAGAAAAATAAGCTCTGATACTGTTGATTTCAAGTATTTCAATGGAGATCAAAATGATTTGCACACTTGTTAGTAGTACAAATGAGATAGGGCCAGACATGTTCTTGACCAAGGTGTAAGTTGAGAGTGATGACCTGAAGGAGCTGAAAAATAGTCAATGGAATTCAATCAGCAAAATTGCCTTGATTTTCTTTATTGATTATGCTTCTTTTGATTTTGAATCTAATATTACTTTTGAGCTTGATTCCTTGGTCAATTCTTCTGATTTTGTGTTGAAATTAAGTCTGAAATCAAGTCTTGATTTCAATCTGATTTGATTAATGGGTCCATCTTGATTTTCTTTTTATCTTGATGATGTCTTGTTCTTATTGCCAAAGAAGACAAGATTGAAACAACTGGTTACTCAAGAATTTATGTAGGATGAAAGGATTCAAGTGGCTTGATTCTGATTTTGATTGTTGAGCTTTTCTTGGAGTTGTATCTGCAACTGGTTCAATGATTGATAGTATCATGGGTGCTTTTTCCTCTTGACATACTCAATACTATACTTTCAAAGTATAGTATTGAAAGCTCAGTACTATACTACAGTGTCACAATACTGTATAGCATAGTGGCTGTGTTGCTCTGTTTGACATTGATCAAAGCTGTGCAAAGCAAGCAGCTGTCCCAGAATAGATGAGCAGTCATTGAAAGACACCCTATTAAGTTTACAGATTAAGTCAGTGTACTGTTGACTTTGCCACACCAAGCCCACTGATGAATATGGAGTTTTGTTGGGTTGCCATTTCATGTCCAAACAGCAGTCTTGATGGGGCAAAACATCAGACGGTTTGTGGGCAATATTACCAGCCAAGAGAGACCAAGATAGTTTTGGTGTGATATTGACACAGCTATACCAATACAAACCAATCAAGCTATAATTTGAACCTAGCATTCTGTTTGATGGCAGATCTCTTTTTGAAGGACTTTTGGGGAGACCAGCATGCTTGGCAAATTTCCTCTGAACAACCTCACATCCATCAAAGTACAACCCCCATACACATCTCATTGGGGATACAAGGTGGATTGACTGATAGGTGGTTGAATGCACCTTCTGCCTTGACATATTTGCAATTTTTAACAATGAAGATTGCAATTGCATAGTTTCAAACATCCCTGTCTGCCACTGACCAATCAAAGGTCCATTGTGTGATGCCACGAGTTTTCAAATCCATGTGGCAACATTTTGAATATATGTAGTGATTCATCTGGAACTCCTTCAGCAACAGTTATTGGGTTGGTTGAAAAAACACATCAATCAGACATAATCTGAGCTTGACTGACAGGTTGGAGTTGGCATCACTCATCTGGAGTATACCCCAGAGCTTTTACTTGGCTTATCATATCTGAGTAAGAGCATTGTGAAGGAAGAATGCAATTGAGCCATTGATCAACATATTGCCTCAGTTGAATGCAGGTCGGTGTTCAGCCACTGCCAGCATTAAAGAGCTTCCTTGGTGGGACCAAGCTGGATAAGCAAATCACATACAATACATTCTGTAACTTTGTTCAGATTGAATCAGTGTTTCAAAAAATTGACTACATATATCACAGTGGCTACTTGGTAAGTATTCATTGCGCTCTTTGACAGTAACAGCAGGGGAATGTGGTCCCTGGGACTCATGTTCTCATTAATGCTGGTAGTGAGTACTTTCAAAGAGGTCACTGCTGACTCTATCTTCCAATGATGAGATGCCCAAGCTTCTTAAAAAAGAAGTAAGAAAAGGCTATTGAGTAAATTGCATACCAAGACTCAACTGGAAAGAAATTTTGGACTGGCACATTGACAATGGTATAAGCCTTTTCAAGATTGAGGGTTTTTTTGTGCAAGTAAGACAATCTTGCTATCAATCTTGGTAACTACCTTATGCAAACAAGGGATCTAGGATGGCGCAAAAGATCTTTCAAGTGTGTCATAATGAAACAATTTACTACAAGTACGTCACCATATCCTAACGGTTGAATAGGGACTGAAGGAAGATCACGTAGATCCGTTGTTTCCAAATTTAACCGCTGAGCAGAAAGATGATTGCTAACTTTTTTACAATTACAAAGGGGTGCTGAGATTTACAAAGGGATGCTGGTATTTCAATGAAGAGTAACAAAGAAAGTGAATAATTTTTTTCCTTTTTGTCCAAACGTCTCCGTGCGTGCATTTCGGTGAGTCATAGGAAAAGGAAGGCTGTGCAAGCTTTGTGAAATCCACTATAAAACATCACACTCGAAAAGATATTCTGTTTATCGTTAAATTCCAGTCTCCATCGTTAAACTTTCATAAATCGAGATAGGTTTAGAGATTTGTTCCAAGTTGAAGTTGAACCGGATAAACACCACGTAAAGCGTTGAAACAAATCACATCCCATGTTCCCGAAGCCTGCCAAACATATCAGCTTTCCAATCCAGTCACTCATCATAAGTTGTGAAGTCAAATACTAACCAATTCAGAAATCATGATGATACCCTCTTGTATTTCACCTTTTTCTAACAGTTCTTCACGTTTCACACCAGGTAACAATCCACAAGAAGTAGCAGGAGTAATCCATGTTTGACTATCCGGTCTTTTAACTGCTACATTTGCAATAGTAGATTCGGTAAGTTGACCATCTGAATTATACATTAAAACATCAAATGGCTGTTTTCCATCGTTCACCAAACTGACATCTATGCGAAAAGAGAAAAAATGAGATTGATTCAAAACAAAAGAAATTGAGAGGAGACGGACGATGACGTGATCGGACTGAATCATATAGATCTCTTTGAGTTGTCTTGAAAAGCAAAAATGGAGTTTCATACTTGGTAGGTTGATCATCAATCACTGAGATTGGAAGTTGAGAATGTCCTACAGAAAAATAATGTCAGACGAGCAATAGAAAGCTGATCTAGACGTTATAAACTAACTGCTTTGAGTGATAAAAGGTGAAGAAATGATCGTGACTTGATTGTCCGGTCCAACGGTCACACGTAGTCTAAGAGCTATTGGACCTTGAGCGACGGTCAATATCTTATTCTGGATCAAATGGGGTTCGCATGGTTCATGAGTTGCACACCAAGATTGAGGTAATTGGATTGCAAGGGACTGATGAGCATTTCTTAAACGATTCAAATGTCGTTCAAGAAGTGGTAAGGATGGATCTTGATTTGGATCATAGAGCATAGTAGTGAGTAGTTCGAATGGAACTGTTGATGATGATGATTGCTGAGCTGAATTCTTATTATCAGTCATGGTAATGGTACTAAATACTACGATGGTGATGATGATGATGAGGATGAATTGAAACTTGAAAGTCTATTACATAAACTTGAACTTGAATTAGATTCAGTTTCTTTACCACAAGCTGACCATCGATTGGAATTTGGTAAACTCGGTCTACGAACTGCTCAGCATGTCTTCTCATTCTCATTCTCATTCTCAACTTAAATCACATCAACAATCTTCATCATCATCACAACTTCAATCTGATTTGACTTCATCAACTAATAGTAACACTACCTCACCCTCTCAACCACAACCATTACCACCTAAACCAACTCGATCTCAATTAAAGAATCAATCAAGAGTTCTAGATTCATTCTTACCTTCATCTCAGAAAGTCAACATAGCTCAATTTGCAAAACAAACTTATCAACTTATAAAACCTTCAAAAGATTTCGACCTTAATGATTGGTCAACCGATTTACCTTCAAATCAACTTGACTCACTCGTTCGATCTTGTAGGTCGGTTACTCACTAGCAATCCTTTCTTACTATAATCTCACTCAAGCTTACCATTTCGAATTCAGTCTTCTCGATCTCACCACTCCATTGATTCCTATCTACAAGGATTCTAATCTGATATCAGAACTACGTGATCATCAACATGAATTAGCAACTCCTTATGGTTCTTTACACGCTCTTCATACTCTCGATCAATCATCTCGACCAGAAGATGCAGAAGACTCTATCCCAGTTCACGATACTCAACCTGATCCAAGACCTACTAAACGTCCTAGATTTCTAGAACAAACGCCTACTCCATATCTGGCTAATATCTTGGAGAATCGTCGACAAAACTCATTTTCTTCCGCTCAAACTTCTACATCGGACATTCCAGTCACTCCTCTCAACCCACCCGATTATCTTGATCCCACACTCTTTGTAAGTCTTCTTCTAATTACGTTTTCTTTTTCACTGTATGTTTAAAGCTAAGCAAAGTTATTACTTATGCCAACAATCTAGTCTCGACCTACTACATCACTTTCTACAATCGCAAATACGTCATATCAAAAACCAACTGAACAAACTGCATTCGCTAAACCGAAACGGATTCGAAAAAAAGCAGCAGGTCCACGTGTACCAATTGAAGAGAAACCCGATCAAATCAAACAATTGATTGGTAGACTTGAAGCCACTGAATTACGTACACTCAAACAAAGTTATGATGGGATGAATTTTGTCAAAGCAGTTGGAAGATCGGATTGGAATACATCCACTCAACCGGTTTGTCTTTTTCTCTGGATCATGTCTTTCATCGCTTAAATTCCATCTTTATGTTCAATCGTTAGATCTTTTCCACATTACCAACTGCGAGAGTCAAAGAGTTGAATGAATTGGCCATCAAAAGACCCTCGCAACCTGCTGTACTCCTTACCATCACGTTTCATCCTCTTGCAAGATCAATCGATCGTGCTACATCTACTATAACCGAACGCGAGACCAAGGCAATTGCACCCCGTCAACAAACTATTCATATTCTCTCGACTCAAACTCTCGCTGAACTCAAAGACTCTGTAGTTTGTGCGGCTGATTATATTCCTAGACATGATGGTACGAGTTGGTTGAATGAGAAATGGGATGCCGGTTGTGTGTTGGCTTTAGAAGGGGTTTGTTATCCTGATCGAAGAGGACTTGGAGTAGCAGGTAAATCAGACTATGGCGAGTAAGTTCTCGAAACTATTTTGTCCAATTTTCTCTCTTTGATGTGATACTAAGGGTTCAATCATCAAATTCAGATTACTTCAGCGATTAACCAAGTCAATGGCGCCAGGTGGACCTGAAATTGTAGACCAAGAGCCTAAAGAAGATGAAAGCTCAAGTGATATTCAAGTTAATCGATCCCAATCTCATTCAAGTTCACGTCCGCAATTGATATTATCTTCAACTGGAATGGAATCTGTACGATTTGAAGAATTAGAGTTACAAATTGGAGAACCTTATTGGATGCTACATCAAGGTAATTGTGAACATATCTTTACAGTAGATGACATAAGGTAAGTCAGAAACCGCTTTTGAGAATATATTTATTATTTGTTCTGATGAATTACTAAAATTTTGTCTTTGAAAAATAGAGCTGTACATCCAACAGATCCAAATTTACCAAAAGTTCCTAATGGAAATATCTTACCTACCATCATCGAAGGATGTTATCCAATCACTACCTTTCTATCCCGATTAACTTCACCCAAGTGTAGAGTATGTGATCGAGATCCAGCAAAACTGGTGATCATGAATGATGAATTAGTAGATGAATCACCTTGTTTTGTTTGTGAAAGATGTTTTGAATTGTTACATGGTCATGAAACTGGATTTAGGATTGGGAAAGTGGCAGGTAGAGAATGGTGGGTTGTACCTTTGTTAGGATCTTGATTATGTTTTTGAAAGGTTGGGAGGCGTTTGGGGTTGGTTTAATGAGATTTGTTTTCATGCAGAAGTTTATCATGAGAGAGATTGATTGAGGCTAAGTCTTGGTTAACAATGATGGGATTACCCAGTGATATGGTGATGCTTAATTTGATATGGTGTAAGTAAATCATCTTACATATCAAGTTTCAATCATTAGTCTCTTTCACATTCAGCTCATGATAAGAGATGAGTGCACTGAAAGTGACCCAGTCTTAGTCAGTCACTCCCTCACAGGACTTCAAGGTTGGTAATCTTCTGCTTACACATTTCACCACATGATTTACATTGGTTTGTAAACTAAACCAGAGTTTCAAAAAAGTCAAAGTTAGTAGAAATTTATGCACATATTTCAACCTTCACAAATGGCCATCCAGGATCCCCCTCTGCTGGCTCTGACAACACCACATCCGCCACGCGAAATAATGGATCTTGTGGCAAAAGCACAATTTCTTTGAAATATTGAGAGCTACGCAATAGTTTGACACATTACACAGATGTTGTGAATCTTGTGCAGTATTGCAAAAATACAGAGGGAAAAACTACAAGACAAACTGGTATGGTATGTAGAGGATGAAATTGATAAGGGTTTTAAGAAAGATGAAACAATGTAGAACAAGAGATTCCTTTTGTTGTTTTTTGGCTACAATGTCAATATAGACTTGAGGAGCCTCTACTGCTTCTGAAAAATACAAAGGGAAATCCTAAAACACAAACTGGTATGGTATGTAGAGGATGAGATTGATAAGAATTTCCAGAAAGAAATAAAACAATGTCAAACAAGAGATTCCTTTTGTTTTTTGGCTACAACGTCAATATAGACTTGAGGAGCCTTTACTGCTTCTGCAAAATTGCCATCTGGTATCATCCCTTCCTTCAGCCATGCTCAAGATCCTACTAGCCACTCCATAGTCTTAGGGATCATCCAACCTGGTGAAGGGGTGCAAACATTGGCAACTGCCAAAAACGTTTGCTCACAAGCTCATGATGTATCAGAATCAGACACCAACAGGTAATCACAGGAAAGCTGGAAAAGAAGTGGGAATTGATGTTGATGTTCCTGTCAAGAACCAAGGTTAGCATGGTCAAGTGCAAATCCAAGCAAAATTGAAATGAAACAAACCTTCAACCAATCAAGTGGGATTTTATCCTTCTTCATTGGACATTTCCCTTGCAAATAGTCTTCAGGCTTGGAATCAGATGCTTTGTTATTACCAAATCTTGAAACTCCAAAGATGTTGAATAAACCAGGTTTGTTAGAAGTAGTGTGACTTTCAGGAGTTGGGGTCAGCTCTTGCTGCTCAGACGATTCCAGAAAATTGTTGAAAGCAGTCTTGATAGTCAAATTAACAGCACAATTGTGATCAGGATAATGTATTGCAAAGAAATTTCCTTGAAATTGAGGGATCAGGATTGTGGCTCAAACTATGCTTTTGAAGTCAACAGCTCTGTAACAGTACTTGGTGAGCCACATGATCATCTTGTTGATTGATTTTTTGAGGCTTGAATGACCCAATTGATTGGCTTGAAAAACTTTGTGGTCAGATATGACACATTTGTAGAACAATATATCTGGCAGTGGTAGGTCCATTTCCCTTGACTCAAGCTGTTGCATCTACAAAGGTCTACCAACATATGTGAAAGGTTAGTTTGTTATTAGAGTCCATGTATTTCAACAAAAATAATGCTTACCCTTTTGGTAACCTTCCTGCAGGGTGCATACCTGTAGATCTGCAGGTATAACATGTTGACCTCAGGTGTGTCCCAGTGCAAGGTGCTTTTTGGTGCAGACAAATCAAAGTCAACTTGACCTCATAACTCATGGATTTGGAGGTGACAAAATATACCTTGTCCCTTGATTTGGGCTTGTTCTGCTTCCCCTCCACTCACAAGCCAACACGTCTCCCATGACCCAAGACACATCCTTATGTGTCCATATCAGGTTTTTTATTGAAGATCATCATATGATTCATACCTCTGTAAACTTGTTCTGGCAATGGATGAGGTTCTGTGCAAGTATTTCACATGGATTTTGATCATGGTTACGAAGTCAATCATATCATCCTGCTTACCACCAGCCCACTTAACAGGACTTGGGCAGATTCTCCCTTTTTTGAGGGCATATCGAGGACATCACAAAGTACAGGTTAATGGTTTATCTCAGTCCAAGTGTTCCAGTGTAGGTTATTTCACCTTTCTCAAAGCTGATGTTCCCTTTATATTACATATACTTCCATACCATATAATCCAAACATGAAGATGATGGAGCAGAACCCTTGCAGGTCTAGAAAAATAGAAAGGTCAACCTGAAGATCTGAGCAAGACATCAAATCTCAGTGGTCAACAAATTGGGCAGGCAGAATCTCAAAGCTCATCCACAGTTGCTGGACCAAAAACTCAAATCTCAAGTGTACACCTCATGTTTTGGGGTAAACCTCCAGGTCAAAGGATTTTGAACGGCCTATTCAACAAATTTGCAAGCAAGACTGCAGTGCAGGTTGTGCTTGGGATTCCAATCAAAATCTGCTGGAGTTTCCTCAAATTTGTGACATCTCTTAGTCAAGGAAAACTAGCTAAAGAAATTATGTCTTGGGGTATGCCTGCTGGTGCTTTGAATTTTTTTACACATCTGTGCCAGTATCTATCATACTCTATCATAGTCTTCCATGCTCTTTCATCCTCACCTTATTCAATCCACTTAACTCATCTTTGTCTCACAATTCTTGGAGATTGAATACTCAAAAGAAGCATAACTGACACTCGCTCTTTGTTCAAACATCATAAACTTTGGGTCAGAATTGAGGTGTATTGCCAGACTTCATACATCACCTCCATGATATTGCAAACTGTATTCCCCTGTTGAACCAGACCTAAAAAAAACTGGTACATAAATACCTCTGAAGGTTATGACAGGCATTCCTGGTAGAGTTACTCAAGTCACCCCAGGTGACCCAAGTATATGGAATGGAGTGGGAGCAAGAGAGCAATAAGGATAACTGGAGCTTAGGTGCAAACTGCAGGAACAGTTTGTGCAGAAGAGAGTGGAAGAGATTCTAGAAGATGAGAAGAATTTCTACACTGTTCAATAATTTCCTTATTACACAATCTCACAATACCTTTCAGCTCATAAAAGTCTCAAGATTTTTTGATTTGTAAAATGGCATATCAGTTCACTCAATCTTGTTAAATTCACCAGATAATGTAACTCAAAAAAGAGGACCCTAAAAAGAAAAGAAATGACAGAACAAAATCAAAGAGAGCTATTCCCATAAAACAATGATGCAAAACAGAAACTCAGAGTGTTTGTTACGGCAAATTAAATTCCAGCAGACCAGCAAAAAAGACCTAACAGACCACCAGCACCAGCACCAGGAACACAGGCACAGCAAAAGCCAAAGAAGAAAGACATGCTTCCTGAAGGCCAACCACCTCATCCTCCAGCTCAAACACAACCTTGTAATTATGAAATCAAACTCAAGTTGAAACTAGGGATGGAAAACCTAGAACATATTACAGAAGAGAAGCCTATGTCACTGGTGTCTTCCGAGTGTCTCAGGATTCCTCTACAGCATTACTTTTCTTTTCTGGGTGGAAAAGATCATATTTTCTGTAGTGATTAAAGCCTGTGGTTTGGAATTTTCATGCTGTACCATAACTTGGGGTGACTACAATGCCCAGGCACTTGAAGGGTTTGGATCCAATACCTTTGTTGTCAAGACATTCCCAAGAGTATCTCTAGATCTATTGTTTCATCCTCTTCAATCTCTACCAAGTACAAAGGTTCCACTCCCCTTTCCACCTCTTCCAACCAACCCAGGAAGAAACCATCCAAAAAATGGGATATGCTTGGTGTTCTCAAGATTGATCAAGTATGCTTTGGTTGGAAGTGTTGTAAATGCACTCCCAAGTTGGGTCTACCCTGTAATTGGGTGCACAACATCTGTGATGGCTTGGATGTATGGAAAATCTTTGAGGAAGCAAACACAACTGAAGAAATTGGTTCTTGCCTTGCACTTTTCAAAGCTCTTAGAGAATCTGCTGTTCCCTACCATTGCCCTCTGATCAAATGGGGGAGGATCAAGGCTTGATTGTCATGGGCACTCAACATATTTCCCTCGGCTGAGCAGCACTAAAAGTAATGCAGCGACCGGACCTAACCCGGAAAAATGAAAATGGCCCGGGGCCCATTCCTTTTTTGGCCGGGTCAACCCGGTCCAGTAGCCCCAATTTTTTTCAAATTCAAAAAAATTGAAGAAATTGGGGAAAAACCAAAATATCCACACAAAAACCGCTATCACTGCTCCCAGACTCCGCTGAGAACCAACAAACATCATGCCAAAACACCTGAAACACCTGAAACGCTCATCCCCACCTATTGTATTGTCACCCATTGTACTGGACTCAGACAATGAATCAAATTCTCCGCAATCTCAGTGCACGCAATCTAAGAACTCCAATTCATCTAATAAGATTACGAAGAACCAAACATTGTGGGTATGGAAGTATTTCAAGACGGAAATAGTACGTGGGACAGCAAAGTACATCTGTCAAGTTTCTAAGCCCGCAGGAAGCAACCGTATCTGTGGAGTTCCTATGACTCCAGATTCAATTCAGTGCACAAAGTCTCTCGCTCGACATCTTGAGCGTCAACACCGGATTACACTGGAATGCAAGCCACAACAAGGTGTGATTAAGTCTTTTTTCACCAGTGGCAAAATGGAAACGGTAAGTCTTAACCATTTCAAGTTTCAATCATTCTTTTTATTCTTTTAATCTTTTTCTCTAATTTCAATCTTTTTATAATTCTTCTTTTGTTTCATTCTTTTTCTCTTCTGAATCTTGCTTTACAGATTCCCAAACTATCTTCGAGAATCTCTCAAGTTTCATCTCATCAAGCTTGTTGTGAATGGCAAGATGCCAGCTACGATTGTTGATTGCAAGGAGTTCAAACAACTTCTCAAGCTTTGTAATCAAGACATACCACCCATCCTTGTTGGATCCGATT